CGGGACCTTACCTGTTCCTCTATCCAGCACCGCGCTGTCTTCCTGGCTTCTGTAGTGTGGGCGCTCGGCTTGACAGCCGGGTGCCCAGTGCGCATGCGCGGGAAGCGGTGCGCTATGTGAATGGTAAGGCGGCACCTGGGACACATGACAGGTCCCAGAAGCCGCCGGACCAATCACAAAGCGCAGCGCTTCTCGCTCATGTGCACTGGACACCCGGCTGTCAAGCCGAGCGCCCACACTACAGAAGCCAGGAAGACAGCGCAGCGCTGGATAGAGGAACAGATAAGGTCCCGCTGCAGAGCGGACACTAACCAAAGAACAACTCCGCGGAAGTAAGAGCGTGTACCTGTCAAATTCAGGTACCCGCTCCCCCCCTCCCCAAAGGTCAGCAGTCATCTCCTGTACTGTCCACAGTCTCTGGTCATCTCCTGTACTGTCCGCAGTCTCTGGTCATCTCCTGTGCTGTCCGCAGTCTCTGGTCATCTCCTGTGCTGTCCGCAGTCTCTGGTCATCTCCTGTGCTGTCCGCAGTCTCTGGTCATCTCCTGTGCTGTCCGCAGTCTCTGGTCATCTCCTGTGCTGTCCGCAGTCTCTGGTCATCTCCTGTGCTGTCCGCAATTTCTGGTCATCTCCTGTGCTGTCCGCAGTCTCTGGTCATCTCCTGCGCTGTCCGCAGTCTCTGGTCATCTCCTGTGCTGTCCGCAGTCTCTGGTCATCTCCTGTGCTGTCCTCAGTCTCTGGTCATCTCCTGTGCTGTCCGCAATCTCTGGTCATCTCCTGTACTGTGTCCGCAGTCTCTGGTCATCCCCTGTACTGTGTCCGCAGTCTCTGGTCATCTCCTGTGCTGTCCGCAATCTCTGGTCATCCCCTGCACTGTGTCCGCAGTCTCTGGTCATCCCCTGTACTGTGTCCGCAGTCTCTGGTCATCTCCTGTACTATGTCTGCAGTGTCTGGTCATCTCCTGTACTATGTCTGCAGTCTCTGGTCATCTCCTGTACTATGTCTGCAGTCTCTGGTCATCTCCTGTAGTGTGTCTGCAGTCTCTGGTCATCTCCTGTACTATGTCTGCAGTCTCTGGTCATCTCCTGTACTATGTCTCAGTCTCTGGTCATCTCCTGTACTATGTCTCTGCAGTCTCTGGTCTCTGTCATCTCTTGTACTATGTCTGCAGTCTCTGGTCATCTCCTGTACTATGTCTGCAGTCTCTGGTCATCTCCTGTGCTGTCTGCAGTCTCTGGTCATCTCCTGTGCTGTCTGCAGTCTCTGGTCATCTCCTGTACTGTCCACAGTCTCTGGCCATCTCTTGTACTATGAAAAGCATAGAAAAATGACGATGGCCACAACGGCAGGCAAGGTGTCCTCACTGTCAGTGCGGTCAAATTCTGATGCATTTCGGGGACGAATCCCTTTCCTCAGAGCGAATGACCAGCCTCTGATGCAGATGGTTAATGGATGAAAAGTGGGAGCCTTGCTGGTGATGCCTCACCGAAATGCGTCAGCCATTTGACCGCACTGACAGTGAGGGACACCTTGCCTGCCGTTGTGGCCATCGTCATTTTTCTATGCTTTTTAGATACATACTTCGTTTGTGAGTATGTTTTTATTATTTTTTACTCTTTACAATAAACCTTGGATAATGCACTAGGTGTCTGGCCATCTCCTGTACTATGTCTGCAGTCCATTGGTTTAGAATATTTTTTTTCCTGTTTTCTGCCTCTAAAACCTAGGTGCGTCTTATGGTCAGGTGCGTCTTATGGAGCGAAAAATACGGTATCCCTCCAGGGTTTTGGTTACTGGCTATGGCTACTGCAAATGCATGCAATATCTTCTCCTCCAGCCACAAAAGCAGATAAATTAATTGATCAGAGACTGTTGCCATACTACAGGAGCTGACTTGAAACATTTCCCATGATGGGGTTACAGACAAGAACACATTTTATAGTACAGCAAGAAAGGTGTTTAACCTCCGACAATGTCTTTATGGCTCTTTCTGTGCCAGGGTTGGGAAGTAATGGGAAGTCTCTCTTCAGTGGGGTCACAGAAACCAGAAGTCTCCCTCCAGTGGTTTCACAGGAAGTGAGGGGACGTCTCCTTCCAGTGGGGTCACAGGACAGGAAGTGAGGGGACGTTTCTTTCCAGTCTCCATCCAGTAAGGTCACAGGGACAGTAAGTGAGGGGAAATCTCCTTCCCGTAGGGTCACAGAAAGAGAAAGTCTCCCTTCAGTGGTGTCACAGGGACAGGAAGTGAATGGATGTCTCCCTCTGGTGGGATCACAGGGATGGGAAGTGAGGGGGAAGGAGTGACAGGTGGGGGGGGGGGGGGGGCAGTGTGACAGGAGGGAGGCAGCGTGATAGTAGGACACCTGGACACACCATATACTCACTCAGATACCACACAATATATTTTCTAGGCATCCAGGTGGGTGCGATCGAAGCAGCTTTCAAACTTCAGCCAATAATTGGGCTGCTTGAGAAAGGGGGCTGAGACTCAGAAACATTGCTGTCTGCCCAGTCCCTATTGGCTTGTAGTTTTACAGCTGCTCTGGTCCCGCCCACCCCCAACATTACTGCTTAGTTTTGACAGCTGGCTTTCTTCCTGCAAGCAGTTAAGCTACCAGCCAGTTTTACACACTCAGCAGTGTTAGAAGTGGTGGTGTTACCCCCCTTGCAAAACTAGAGATATTGACCAATCCTGGTATCTGGGTCTCTCTCATATACGATAGTTAAACTCAGCCAACTCACATGCATGGTGAAGAAAAAGAAGAATCCTCCCATAGTGTAATACTGTTACTATTATTAAAATGTCAAAACCACTAAATGCTCACTCACATGATAATGGTTTAAAACAAGCTCTCAGAACCTCATGGATAACACTGGCTGTACTGCTATGGGTATACCAAGATGGCACCCACACCGGAAGTGACGTCACCACGTCTTCATGTATCTCCTTTCTGAACAAGTGGTCCTCTCTTCCATTGGCACATCCACCCATTTCTAGGCTCAACAAGGTCACTATGATTCCAGTAGAGGTACTGCCTTCCTTTAAGAATTCTGTAGACCGTGAAGACCGAATCAATGGCATGTTCCATGTTCACTATAGCTGGGTCTGCATTGCATCCTATGTTGGCTATGGCCCTAGGGTTTCAGACTTTGGCTGCATGGGCCAAGGTTTTGCTATAGTTTCTAGCCAAATGCCCCAGGTGTATGTGGACTTTGCAGATCAGTTGGTTCAGGGGTAAAAAAAAATGTGTTTTGAGGCATCCTTTGGTGCTGCTCTGCTTCTTTCCAAGCTTTCAGTCTCTGTAGTGGTGCTTCAGCGAGTCCTTTGGTTCAAGTATTGTGGTCACCAGACCTCTAAAAAATGCCCCAGCAGACCTGCCCTTCCTGGGCAAACATCTCTTTAAAGCTATCTTGGATGACATCATCAAATATCTGACGGGCAGCAAGAGTATCTTCTGTCTCTCAGTCGAAGAAGGGTAAAGAGCCATACCAGAAACGAACCCACAATTCCCATTCATTGCCCAGTGACATCCTAGAGTCTGGGAATGCCCATCTTGTGTCCTGTATTGTTTTGTGGGGATGCTTTTCTTAAGCAGGGACAGGGAAGCTGGTCAGAGTTGTTGATGGGAGAATGGATGGAGCTAAACATAGGGCAATCTTAGAAGAATACCTGTTAGAATCTGAAAAAGACTTGAGACTAGGGCAGAGGTTCACCTTCCAGCAGGACAATGGCACTAAACATACAGCCAGAGCTATAATGGAATGGTTTAGATCAGGGGTCTCCAAACATTCTAAACATAGGGCCGGTTTACTGTCCTTCAGACTTTAGGAGGGCCGGAGTGGCCAGTGGGGGAGTAGAAAATTTCCCAGCGTCAGGAGTAAAAAAAAAAAAAAATGACACAGTGCTTGTAGTCGGTGGACGGAGGAATATTGCCCCTTCATTGGAATTAGTGAGAGGAATAGTGCCCCATCAGTGGTGTCAGTGGGATTTATAGTGCCCCATCAATGGTATCAGAGGAAGGAATAGTGCCCCATCCTTGGTATTAGTTGGAGGAATAGTGCCCCATCCTAGGTGTTAGTTGGAGGAATAGTGCCCCATCATTGGTGTTAGTGGGTGGAATAGTGACCCATCATTGGTATCAGTGGAAAGAATAGTGACCCATCATTGGTGTCAGTGGAAGGAATAGTGCCCCATCATTAGTGTCAGTGGGATGAATAGTGCCCAATCATTGGTATTGGTTGGAGAAATAGTACCTATTTGTTTATATCAGTGGGAGGAATTGTGCCCCATTATTGGTATCAGTGGAAGGAAAAATGCCCCATAATTGGTGCCAGTGGAAGAAATGGTGCCTCCTTGTTGGTATTAGTGGGGAGGAATAGTACCCCGAGGGCTGGATAGAAGCAAGCAAAGAGCCGCAGTTTGGAGACCACTGGTTTAGATCAAAGTATATTCATGTGTTAGAATGTCCCATTCAAAGTCCAGAGTTAAATCCAATTGAAAATCTGTAGCAAGGCTTGAAAATTGCTGTTCACAGATGCTCTCCATCCAATCTGACAGAGCTTGAGCTATTTTGCAAAGAAGAATGGGCAGAAATGTCACTCTCTCTAGATGTGTAAATCTGGTAGAGATATACCCAAAAAAGACTTGCAGCTGTAATTGCAGCAAAAGGTGGTTCTACAAAGTATTGACTCGGGGGCTGTATACAAATGCACGCTACACTTTTCACATATTTATTTGTAAAAAATTTTGAAAACAATTTATCATTTTCCTTCCACTTCACAATTACTGTATGTGCCACTTTGTGTTGGTCTATCACATAAAATCCCAATAAAATACATTGACATTTTTGGGTGTAACATGACAAAATGTAGAAAATTTTAATTGGTATCAGGGGCGAACTGACAACTCATGGGGCCCCCGGGCAATAGGGGATAATGGGGCCCCTGTGTCCTTGCCCAAACTCAAAAAAGCCTATGAAAAAGGTACCAGGGGTATCTAATGGGGCCCCCTACTGACCCCGGGCCTTCGGGCAGTGCCCGAGTTTCTAAATGGTCAGTCCGCCCCTGGTATGAATACTTTTTCAAGGCACTGTAAGAAAAGTGGGATACTAGGACTTGTGCTTTGCCTTCCTCACAAAAAAAGCTGAACGGTTTGACAAAACTATTTACCTACATTAATGCCTAGCTACGCTTTCATTTTCTTTTGAGATGAACACAGCTATAAATGCACATTTATTTATTTTTTATTTTTTTGGATGTTCCTTAACAGAACATGACTCTGGATATATATCACATTGTCACTCGGGGAAACTACAGAAAAATTAAGAGGCAGCTCTGTGTTACACAGAAGTGCTTTGGATTGGTAGGCAGAAGGTATTTTACCTTAATGCATTCTATGTGTTAACGTAAAAAGCCTTCTGGGTGCAGCTCCTACCTCGGCTCCCCTTATACTTACCTGAGCCCCATCTTGATCCAGCGATGTACATGAGAGCTGCAGCCCTTCCAGGTCTCGCTCTCCTCATTGGCTCACATAGCAATGGGAGCCATTGGCTTCTGCTGCTGTCAATAATCACAGCCAGTGAGCCAATGAGGATAGAGTGGGGATGGGGCCAAGCCACGCTCTGTGTGAATGGACAATGCCCATTTACAGGAGCATGGCTCGGAAGCGAACCTGCTCAAGTGCCCCCATAGAAAGACGCTTGCTATTAGGGGCACTTAACAGGGGGGAGGAACCAGGACCACTGGCAGGGAACCCAAAAAGGAGAGGATCGGGGCTGCTCTGTGGAAAACCTTTGCACAGAGCAGGTAAGTATAATGTGGTGTTTTTTTTTGTTTGTTTTTTTTTTTATTACAACTTTTAGTATCATTTTAAGGGGGTTTAGAAACATCAAATAAAGAAATAAGATGATGCACGCAATTTTTACTTTTTTGTTCAGCTTGCACAGATATTGCCACTATGTTATTATAAAGGTGGTATTTACTTCTTGACCATATAACATTTGATATTTGAGATGAGTTTCAATTGCTACATGACCAGCACAGAAAATTGCTAATCAACTGGGTAAATCAAGTGGTCTTTTTTGTATTTACATGTATCGTCCTGCATGTATGTGTCTTGATTTGTTACTTGGTTATTCTTTTAAGATGTTTTAAGAAAGTTATTTATTTTGTTTTTTTTTTCTCCTAAGGGGGACCTGTCATCTACAGAATGTTAATATATCCTCCAACACGTCGTGCTCTATTTGTTGGTTGTGGATTGCAAATGTTTCAACAGTTGGCGGGCATCAACACAGTCATGTATGTATTTCACGTTCTAAATTATAAATATTGAGATGATGTTTAATGCTATCTGAGCTCCCATTCACACTAGTGCGATTTCTATGCAGCTATCATCATGCAGCACTGCACGACAATGGAAATCACATTATTCTCTATCGTGCCTATTCACATCAATGCAGAACATTTTCAGCGTATTTTGTAAAAAGTAAAGATGCCACTCTGGTGTAGTTGCAGGATTTTGGCCCCATAGATCTCAATGGAAATGCACCAAAAACTCATGTAAAATGCATGTAAATGGTTTCTGTATAAAATCTAATTTCCTTGTTCTACAAAAAAAATACTTGAAGCATGAAAAAGTGTCAAAAAACATACCAACTCACAATGAAAATTGGATCATGCTGCACTAGTGTACAATGCAGTTCGGTGGGAGCAAACACTCTGCGTTTGGGACCTGTTTTTGAGATGTTAAGTTTGCACTACACCTGATGCAGATTGCAAAAGCAGTACGACTTGAATATGGTGCCGGAAACCAGCATATAAGGCGGGTTTTCCACACAGCATTCTAGTGTTAACAGGCCCTCACGTGGTCTGTGTTATGAGATTTAATTTGCTGTGGTATGCATATGAATAGCTAATAAATATTTAGTTCAGAGATTTTATGAAAGCCAAACTTGTGTTTACTGCAGCTAGACACTAGGAATTTTACAGGTTTGTGTGAACAGCAGTTGTACAACCTGATTTTGTTTTTACTACATATCCAAAAGCAACATTTTTTTGTGTTATCTGTTACGTAAAGTAGAATTGGTATGCTTTATCCCAAGTGATATTACTCGCAGGACATTAACAGGCTATAGGAGAATAATGGCCCTCTGATCAATGTGTGTTTAAAAAAAATAATGCAAACCTTTACACACATTTACACTTTTTAGCAATTATTTCACTAGCTGATACGTGTTCTTCCATCTTAAAATTAAGTTAATAACAGAGGAACAACCTGTCTTTACTGTTACTCTTTGTAAATATATGGAAAAACAGTTCCCTTATCCCAGCTTCTAAATGCAGTGGCACATGTAAATCACACTTTTTAAACCACATTTTACCTTAGAAACAATACACTGACACTTTCAGTTGTAAATATAGCATATCCTAACTCACTTACAAATCACATGGCCTTAATGAATGCTATTGTGTACCTAATAACAAAAAGATTACAGGTTTTGGTGGCCAGCTTAAAAAAAAAAAGCCACAAAAAGCCAAAAAAAGTGATGCACATTTCCTTATCCATGCTCTGAATATGTACATATGCTTTGTACAAACATATTGCACATTTTGACTGTAAGGTCTGTATGTGCAAGTATACAGTTGCAAGAAAAAGTATGTGAACCCCTTGGGATTACGTGGAGTTTTTGCATGAATTGGGCATAAAATGTGCTCTGAACATCATCTAAGTCACAACAATAGAAGAACACAGTCTGCTGAACATAATACTACACAAACATTAGATGTTGCCATGGTTTAATTGCACATAACATGTAAACATTCACAGTGCAGGGAGGAAAAAGTATGTGAGGCCCTGGCTTAATGACTTCTCCCAGAGCTAATTGGAGCCAGCAGTGAGCCAACCTTGACTCCAATCAGTGTGATGATATTGGATGTGTTGCTGACAGCTGTCCTGCCCTTAAAAAAACACACACCTGTTTTGGGTTTACTGGTTTCAAGAAGCACTGTCTGATGTGAACCATGCCTCGCAGAAAAGAGCTCTCAGAAGACCTACGATCAAGAATTGTTGACTTGCATGAAGCAGGAAAGGGTTACAAAAGTATCTCCAAAAGCCTTGATGTTCATGTGTCCACGGTAAGACAGACTGTCTACAAATGAAGAAAGTTTAGCACTGTTGCTACTCTCCCTAGGCGTGGTCGTCCTGTAAAAATAACTGCAAGAGCACAGCGCAGAATGCTGCATGATCTAAAGAAGAATCCCAGAGTGTCAGCTAAAGACCTACAGAAATCTCTGGCACATGCTAACATTTTTGTTGACACATCTACAATAAGGAAAACATTAAACAAGAATGGAGTACATGGGAGGACACCACGGAGGAAGCCATTGCTGTCCAAAAAGAATATTGCAGCACGTTTGAAGTTTGCAAAAGAGCACTTGGATGTTCCACAGCACTACTGGCAAAATATACTGTGGACATATGAAACCAAGATTGAGTTGTTTGGGAAGAACACACAACACTATGTGTGGAGAAAAAAAGGCACAGCACACCAACATCAAAACCTCATCCCCACTGTAAAACATGACGGAGGAAGCATCATGGTTTGGGGCTATTTTGCTGCCTCAGGGCCTGGACGGATTGTTGTCGTTGATGGGGAAATGAATTCCAGAGTTTATCAAGACATTTTGCAGGAAAAACGTACGACCATCTGTCCGCCAACTGAAGCTTCGCAGAGGATGGGTGATGCAACAGGACAATGACCCAAAGCATACAAGTAATTCAGCAAAACAATGGCTGCAACAGCACAGAATACGCCTTCTGGAGTGGCCCAGTCAGAGTCCTGACCTCAACCCGATTGAAAAGCTGTGGCATGACCTTAAGAGAGCGATTCACACCAGACATCCCAAGAATATTGCTACACTGAAACAGTTTTGTGAAGAGGAGTGGTCCAAAATTACTCCAGATCGTTGTGCAGGTCTGATCTGCCACTACAGGAAACGTTTGGTTCAGGTTATTGCTGCCAAAGGAGGGTCAACCAGTTATTATGTCCAAAGGTTCACATACTTTTTCCTCCCTACACTGTGAATGTTTACATGTTATGTGCAATTAAGCCATGGCAACATCTAATGTTTTGTGTAGTATTATGTTCAGTAGACTGTGCTCTTCTATTGTTGTGACTTAGCTGACGTTCAGAGCACATTTTATGCCCAATTCCTGCAAAACTCCACGTAATCCCAAGGGGTTCACATACTTTTTCTTGCAACTGTAACCCAATGGAAAACCCAAAAGCCATAGTAAATGGTACACGAATCAGTGGAGTTCCCTTATGAAAGGAGAGGAAAGGAAGAGATGTGTGAATGGTTCCATCTTCAGTTTCTCTGTTACTAGGTTCTCTCCTATTGCTGCTGTTGATCATATGCATTATATACCATGCACAACACCATCTAGTCACTGCAGGAAAGAAATGCAACCAATATATACTGGCAAGTGTTGGCAAAAGTTGCAAGCTGCTTATAACTTTGTAGGGCTCAGAAACTGCTAACCGTGATCTGCAGAGAAGGAAAATCCAACAGACATGTTGAATTTTCAGTCTTTTGATGCAAACTAGCAAATAATTAGGGCAACGTGAATTCCAAAAAATAGCATTTTAAATAGACTGCAGCTGTTCCACTACAATTTAAGAAAAAAATCTCTACAAATCGTGCCAGCTGAAGTTCTTTAAAAGCACTTATTGAGAGGGCTAATAACTGTAGAATATTAAAGTGTTACTAAACCCACAACAGTAAAATCAGTCTGTATATGCAGTAAAGCATGATTGTTATACTCACTGTGGAACCTAAGGGGTTAATCATCTGCGTTGTGTAAAAAGGCTGTTTGATCCTGTGATCTCTGATCCTCCCCTTCTTCCAGTGTCCCCTCTTATCTCCTGATAAGACATATCGTGTGGAGTCACTCTGCATATACTCAGTTTGGTGTGTATTGCTAGAGAGGGGTCAGCACTGTCTAGACAGAGGTAAGGGGTTCTGCATTCTCCTAGAACAATATGAAAACTGCTACAAGCTTTAACCAGTGCTCAGCTGGACACTGATAGAAGTCACAAGACTGCTCTAACTACAGATGAGAAAGAAATTTAGCAGTTTATATTTACTAAAATAATTGCACTTCCATGTTGTGTGTACTGTGGGAGACCAGATATAGTGAATGCAGGGTCCTGGGTTTAATAACACTTTAATGTGTAGGAAATGAGCTGCTGGGTAGGTGCTTCTGTATTGGTCATACAACTACAAGTTAATCTTTACTTTCTTCCTCCTGTTCATACTCATTCTCATAAATGGTAAGAAGGGGGTGTTGTGAAATGGCAAATACCATCACTAAGCCTGGATTCACACTTGTGCGGTGTGGCATACCGCATTCCTGTGCAAATCACATACGAATTCTGTGTGGTGTGATTTGAGCCATACATTTTGTATGGCTCAAATTGCACCACATTCACACCAAAAAGGTGCAGGACCCTTTTTTGGTCCGCACTAGAATCAGATCGCATGGGTGTGAACACCCATGCGATCCGATTCTGCACATCACACCACGTTTTGCAAACCAATTTCGGGGTGTCAACTTAAAATACACAGCTGCAATGGTTTGTGTGAACAGGGTTCAATTTATGATGCGGTGCGGAAATCGCACAGAAACCAATGCAAATTTCACACCGCATCAGTGTGAACCCAGGCTAAAGTGCAGAACAGCATTGGGTTCATTTGCTGAGGTTAGGCTTGCACTATGATCTGAAAATTGACTTGTTTTTGTTATATTATTCCAGCTGCTACTGCCACCCTAGTGCTTACATTTTGAACTCAAATTATTAATATTTATAACTCTGTGAGATTCTTTTGTGTGTGGCAGGATGCAATACTCCGGGACCTACGTACATTAATTATATCACACCTGCAGTCGTGTGGCGAATGCTACACATGGTACGGGACTTCGTTGCTAACTGATGTCTATTCACCCTGTGGGAAAAAGGGAATCCTTGGTGAGAGTCCTTTGCTGGGGAGTATAGACATCTGCAAATTTTTGGTTAAGGTGATTTACAAGGGGCCGAATTTTGTGGAGTTGGTCAAATTCAGGGTCACACCGAGGACAACAGAGTGTGTTATTGTTGAAATGCATAAAACACATTATGCTCTCATATCTATGCCTTGCCATGGCAGCACAGAACACATATGATGAATTGGGTCTGTGGAGCAATACAACCGCAGTTAATTTTTTTTTTAGTAATGCCCATGTTGAGGGTTAGGCCCAAAAAAAAATTTAATTTGGAAACCATAATGGGTTTCCATATGAATGGTTTGGCAAGGTTTGAATATGGGTTGGCGGCGATAAATTGTTGTGCATATAAATTGCTTTGATCCACAATCAATGCATACAGATCTTCCGTGAAAAACAGCTCCAAAAAATCTGCTGTTTCCACCTGAGTTCCGGGTTGGGCATTGAATGGGGGAAATACGGGTGCTGACTCTGTGAACACTGCAGTTTTGTGTGCAATGTATCAGGTGACAGTGACCTACTGACACTGCACTTGCTGGGGGAGGGTAAGCGTAGGAGCTAAATGCAGGTGCCGGGGCTGATCCCGCTAATGCTGTGTTTTTGGGGATACTATACTAATGTTAACACTGGTATATTTCTGATCTGATCAAAGATATTGATCCATTCAGACACTATACTAGCAATGGAGGTTTATTGTGTATGAGCGTGTTCCTTGCAATCAAGGGGCTAAATGTGATTACTGGTGTACTGACGGGCAATCTGATGCTATCTGGGAGGGGCATGAAAACCATGGGAGCGCGAATCACGCATATATACACGTGATTTTCCCGTGCCACCCTGTAGCAGTATTTCCTCTATAGGGCGGTCAGGAAACGGTTACAGAAGTGGTTTTTGTTATGGGTGTTTTGTAACTTTAACTGACAATTGCGCGGTCATGCAACGCTGCACCCAATTGAAATTTATGTCCTTTTTTTCCCACGAATTGAGCTTTCTTTCGGTTGTATTTGATCGCCTGTGTTTTTATTTTTGGCGCTATAAAAAAGAAAAGAACTGACAATTTTGAGAAGAAAACAATATTTTATACTTTTTGCTATAAAACATGTCCAGTAAAAAAATTTAAAAATCAAATTTAGTCATAAATTTAGGCCAAAATGTATTGTGCAACATGTCTTTGCTAAATAAAATCCCAATACGTGTAAATTAATTGGTTTGCGTGAAAGTTATAGAGTTTACAGATGGCGGTATAGATAATGGAATTTTTTTTTATACTAATAATGGTGGCGATCAGCGACTTATAGCAGGACTGTGGAGGACATTCTGACCCGGGAGGGAACTGACTTGGGGTTACTGACATCCCCAGTGACACCAATACAGTGATCAGTGCAAAAAAAAAAAAAAAAAAAGCACTGACACTGTACTAATGGCACTGGGCAGGAAGGGGTTAACATTTGGAGGCAATCAAAGGGTTATCTGTGTGATGGGAGTGTCTTACTAGGGGGCGGGCAGTTTGTGCTTCACTGTAAGCACACTGATCAGGACAGCTGTGCTCAGCCATCCAAAGCAGTGTGCCCAAACTGACAGGGAGGAGGGCTGCACCCTGTTGGTGTTTGCCGGTAATCACCAGCCGGGACCCGGTGATTGACACCTGTGGCCGTGATTTTGCGCAGCGTCCCACCTTACCGCAGTATAAGTACTGTTACAGTTAATGGATAAGTTCAGCTTTGATAGTATGTTGCTATTTAACCGCGTTCCCACCCCATTATATTTCCCCTGCCCATATTCCATATTTTCTACTCCTCCGTTCTTCTGTCTATATTTATATCCCTTTTCTCTTGCTTCCTCTCTCCCTTATCTTCATGCGAGACAGTATTGCTATTCAATTAAACTCTTCTTACTCTTAACACTTTATACTCCTGTTGCTTCCAAATATCTTTTGGATGTTTTAAAGTCATACCATCTACTCCATACTTTTCTGAATTTTTCCATTTCATCTTCCTCCATATTATATAATTCCTCCATCTTATTTATATATTCAACTCTGTTTATCCAATCCTTTATTTTGTTGGGCTCTTGGACTTGCCAAAATTTGGGAATAAGTCCTTTGGCCGCATTATTTAGATGACATAATTACCCTATTTTTATATTGTTTCACTAAAGTCTCAGATTTATGAAATAAACAAACCCACAGGTCCTTCTGTATGGTGATCCCCAGTATCTTCTGTATGGTGATCCCCAGTATCTTCTGTATATATTGAATTATTTCTTGCCAAAACTTATGTACAGTATGTTAGGACATTCCCACCATATACTGTATGTGACATTTTTCCCTTGATCTCACACCCCCTCAAACATAAAGATGAAAGTTCTGATTGTTGTTTATGTGCCAGACTTGGTGTAATATACCATCTTACTAAACATTTATAGTCAATTTCAACTGTATTCATATTCATCACCCCATGTGTTAATTTAAATATTTAGTGCTGAAAATTGCCCTGCGCAGGAAGGGGGGTTAAAAGTGCCCAGTATTGAAGCTGTTAATAGTACTTTTTGCACATTGGTAAGGACGTTATGTCAAATGTTATTTAACCACTTGCCAACCTCCCACAGTATTTTTACTGTAGGCAAGCTGCATGTACAGGCAGAGCAACATACCAGTGCGTCGCTTTGCCTGTACCGACACGGAGGGCGTGCCCCTCCACCCATGACTGCTGTGTCCATTAGACACAGCAGAATGTGGGTCCTGGTAACCGGGTCCCGGTGATCACAATGTCAACAAAGCTCTTATGAATCATGAATTTGATTCATAACCATTTTGCCTTCCTTTCTAGTGAGCTGTGATTGGCCCACAGCTCTCACATGGTACCTGGGCCAATCACTGCACCTTGTACCATGTGAATAGCTGTAGCCAATCATAGATCATTAGTATCCTGAACGGTCATGAACTTAACCCATTCAAGACAGTTCAAAGCATTGCTGGTGCAATGATCTTTATTGCACCTGAAATGCAAAGTGTAGAAAATAAAAAATTATTTAAACATTTTAAGTGCAGTACCCTTACGTCACAATCTATTTCTGGGTGTGACGCCCCCCGCTGATTCCCTTTGTCGGTCCAGGCAAAGAAGAGAGAATACTATACTGTAAGTGAAAGCACTACATCACACACACACACACACACACACACACACTAGATTAGCACATTTAACCCTTTGATCGCCCCTATTAACCCTTTGATCACCCCTGTGACCCAGCTAGTGCCATTAGTACAGTGTCATTATATAGAATTTTTCACTGATCCCTGTATTATTGTCACTAGCAACATCAGATAGCATCAGGGTCAGTTATCGCCCCTCCCAGCCAGGGTCAGCTAATTTTAAATTTGCCCGCACACTATCGCACTCATGCTATAGGTAGCTGATCACCACCATTACTAGTATAGTGTTTGTACAGATCAATATATTAATACTAGTGCCCCTTAACGTGGTGCCCCCAAAAACACAGTATTGGCAGGATAAGCCCCGTTTGTTGCCAGCACTAGCGTTTAGTTCCTCTGCCCTCCCCCCTAACAAGAAGTGCAGTGTCAGTGTAATTTCTGATCACTGTCACCTGTGGTACATTGCTCATAAAATCACAGCGTTAGCAGAATCAGGCCTGATCTGTGGTACGTCGCTGGACTTTGAGTGGTTATAACAGGATGATGACTGCAGCTGCAGGCATCACCCTGGTATCGTTTTTTTGAGTCGGCTTTCATGTAAAAGCAGTCCTTGTGGCTAATTAGCCACTGGATCATGTCATCTCTATGGTCCAAGAAACCGGAAGCAACTTCACTTCATTTTCACCGGCTATAAACAGTGCCATTTTTAAATTCAGAAAGCGTCTGATCGCACTGATCTTGTTGTGATCAGATGCTATAAGGGCAGAGGAGAGATCTAGAATCTAATAGACCCCAGATTT